TTAAGCATTAAGCCATAAGAAATGGACGAATCATAGTCGATTATTCTCCTCGAATTCGACTGTAATTGGTCAATTTCTTACGGCTTAAAACACCTATTGTAGATCCGGGGTAATACGAAGCAAAATTCATCGGAATCCTGTTTTCTGATTGGTTGCAGAGCGGCGTACGACGAAAATCGGATGCAGTGTGAATCCAGCATATCAACTCCGAATATCTTTTATCCTTGTTCTTCATCGAATGTTGAATAAGGATAAAAGATACTCGGAGTTGATAGAGTCGAGTTTTGGAACGCACCCTGGAAGCACTGGTGCGCACTGGTGCATATTAAAACCGTTGTACACTGATTTAATTTGAGTATAAAAATGAAATACAAATATTTCGAATTATGAAATACATATTTTATTTAACAGTACAATAAAATGTATCAGGTATTTCACGATTTAATCGATTTCTATGTTTATTTATATGTATATCTTTACGTTATTTTGTGTACTGCTTTAATTTGCACCAATGCGCAGGAGTCCCATGAGCCGTATTTGCCGCGTATCGCGTAAAGGCCCGTTCACACCTTGACAGAGAAGCAGAAAGCGGAAAAACAGCAGCCAATTAGAACTCGCGCTGGTATTCGACAATTTCGGCTTTTTTATATTACTTACTACCAGCGCGATTTGTGATTGGTCACTGCTTTTCCGCTTTTCCGTCAAGGTGTGAACGCGCCCTAATGGTTCCTGCACACTGGACGCGGAAACGCTTGCCGCGCGGCAAAATGTAACGCGGTAGCCAATAAGCTTACAGCTCCTGACATGTTCATTGATCACCACGTCGCATTTTGCCGCGCAGCAAGCGTTTCCGCGTTCAGTGTACAGAAGCCATAAACCTTAAAAAATGAACGAATCATAGTCGATTATTCTCCTCGAATTCGACTGTAATTGGTCAATTTCTTACGACTTCAGATTTAAAATACTTATTGTAGATCCGGGGTAACCAATCGTATCAAATTGCAACAGGTACTACGCGTTATTCTAGTTGAAATGATTTGATTGGCTGACGTAAGTTACGCCACATGTGACGGTACCCTGATATTCATTAATTTTTAGGGTAAAAACCTTGATAGAAAAGCAGAAAGCAGCAGCCAATCAGAATTCGCGCTGGTAATAAGCAGTACAGAAAAGGCGCGTCTACAATATGCGAAATAAGCATGGTTTAAGAAGAGTAAGAAATTGACCAATTACAGTCGATTGTGAAAAGAATAATCGACTCTGATTGGTCAATTTCTTACTAATAATTGTAAATAATGTAGAACCAGCTTTAATCGCATCGCAGCGTCGCGGTCCAATCAACGTCAAGCTAGCTCGACTCTGATTGGACCGCAATGCTTGCGACGCTGCGATGCGATCAATGTAGAATCAGCTTTAGAAAATTGACCAATCATATTCGACTACGATTGGTTAATTTTCTACGACTCAAGATTACCAACTGCTATGACTTCTATTGTAGACCCCGCATAAGTCTTCTTTAAATAGATTTCGGAACGTTCATCTATCGCCATCTACCGGATGTTTCCGGGCCCACCAAAAAAAAGACCATATAAAGAATTACGACGGACCGGACGGACGTTGCTCGACGGGTTTCGGGACGCGCCGTAATCACGTATCTTTACAAAGCACGCGAATCATGTTTCGTGATCATTGTAAAATAAAATATCCAGAGCTGCAATGAATTGTAACGAGAATTTTGTAGAAGTATGCAAATTCACTACATCACATGGGTAGTCAACCGTTATCAAAATCTTAAATGCTCACGCGAATATACCGCTCGCTTCTGTAATCTCTCTACTATGCCACGATCAGCCACGATGCACATGACCTCTTTCTATCTTCCTCTCCCCTCTTATTTAATTTCTCTCTCTCTCTTTCTCTCCCCCTTCCTCTCCCTCTGACGTCGAGCACCTCACTTCCACAGTTCCACGTTTTATCTCGTTCCTGTTATTCGGGGGATTTCCGTTCTCCGAGCAACGCGATATGGCGATACAGTTACCCATTTACCTAGACATTAATTCGACAGTTCCTTTTGTCCATCGAGGAACGATAGAATTTCTATCGAAATGATAATAGAGACAGAAATTTAAATCGAATCTTATTCAATTTTATCTACCATTTTACGCTATCCAGCAGCCACATTTCTACGCCTATGTATGACCCCGATGTAGTTTCATCGTAATAGATGGTTACGAGGTGGGAGAGGAAGAACCTCGGATATAGGGTGAGATGCTTGAAATTATCACCTTGATTATGCCAATATTATCTATCGAGAAAAATGGGTCATGTAAAAGTCGCTTCGAGAGCTGAATACATTACGATACCAATGTGATTTCATTCTAGATACCTATAGCTACTCCAAAACGATGTTTGCGTGTACAGAAGTATCGAGCGATATCAAGGCGACGATCGAGAAAGCGAGCTTCACTTTAGAATAAAATATGAAATGTTTCGATAGGCACTTAATCCTCCGTTTTACTTTGGCATTTCTGCACGCTTGGAATGCTTGGAAAAATCGATTTATGCAAATTGTACAGTTCCATCGGAAAAACTCGGTCCGGAGCGAGAGTTACACCGATTACAGGATATGGACGCGTGGAAACGAGATCTTTCTACATTCGACCCGTTCCTTTCAGACGGTGAAATATCGACGTAAATCAGGCTGGCAATTTCGAACGCCTTACCCCGTACACTGGTCGGTTCATCGGCGTGAACGCTGGTGGGCCGCGATTTCGAGGAAGATTAAGTTTCTTATTGACATCGGATACGATGAGTCATCACTACCCTTGGCGGTTTAAAACACGTAGGAGATACATACAACTGAATTTACGCCCGATATATCTCGGTATATCGGAATTTACCGTCTAAACCTCTTTCCGTTGTTCGAATATGAAAATTATTTCAATATGTATGCAATCGGGGCCCACAGTCACATTTGACGCTAAATACGAGGGTGGCGCGATGCGTGGACGGGGTTAAAAATTCTCGGTGCAATTTATTCGAATTCGTCGCTGCTCTATGATAACGCCACGACCAGCGATCCACCCGTTGGTGCGCCGTTGCGTCGAGCAGCGCCAAGCGCACGGAGTGGCACCGAGTGCGAACTGACGCGAACACGGCCGAAAGTGGCAACGGAGAGGGGGAGGAGGGAGGGGAGACGATCGGTGCGTGGGATCGGCGGGACGAGCGGGGAAAGGCGGACGACCGATATGGGCGCGGAGAGGTGAGGGAAGGGGGCGCTCGGGAGGACTCGGCGATCTCCGGGCGGCCACTCGCGTCGCTAGTGGCGCTTCGGCACGACGGCGGTGGGGGTAGGGACGATGCATGGGCCGCGACTAGGAGGCACTCGGGAGGCAGGGAGGGCATGCGAACGACGGTGGAGCGCACAGTTCGGTAGTCGCCATTGCGAGTCTCCCTCGTGTCTCGCGCATCTCCGACCGATTCTCTGATATACGCGTGGAGCGAGGACTCTATTTTTCCGCTAATCCTAATACAATACATCCCCCCGTGGTGGGACCCCATGCGCGATACCCCGATGCAGAGAATTTGCAGCGAGCTGACCGAAAAATTGTTGAAATCCCTTGACAAGGAATACAATGTAAGTAAAGGCGGAGTGTGGTGTGTCGCGGCGTGATGCACCGCGCCGTCTCCGTGTCCGTACGCGCAAACGGCTATCGGCCCACTCTCGATCCCCCGTGCGCCGTGTTGCTGCCTGTACCAGTGACGTGCGCGAGAGTACCCGCTAGAGTGACAGCGTGTATGTGTATGGCGCGTATATGCGCGCGCGTGTGTGCGTGCGTACGTGTGAGTGTGTGTCCCGTCGTAAGCGTGGCGGCCGCGACGGCCGCGAGTGTATGAGTGCCGCCGCGGCCACGGTCGTCGTCGCCGTCGCGCGCCGCGAGAGCCACACTGTTCCTCTCTCCGCCTCACGGAGATGCGACGGACAGGCGATCCGCGCGCACTGCCGCGCACTACGTATGGCCTCTTCGCTCGCCCCCTCGCTCGCTCGCACGCACACTCGCACGCGCTCATCCGCCGCCGTAGTGTACGTGCGAGGGGGAGAAAGAGAGCGAGAGAGAGAGAGAGAGAGAGAACATGCGGGAGGGAAAAAGGACGAGTCGGGAGTAACGTAACGTAATGACGTGCGGGTGAGCGCGTTCTACACCATTCTCGACTACCTGGATACATAACCTCAATCAGGATGATGCACTTTAGCGCAAGCCGACGTGATTATTCGATGTAATGCCACAATGCTGCCTTCTCTCGTGCATATCTCGCTCGGCGTTTTCCTTCTCTCGTTGCACCATAGTATCGTAAATTTGCGAGGAAGGTCCGATCATGCGAACGCCGCTACTTTCCTTCGATGATGTGTCCGTTGATCGTCATTGTCCATGGTCTTGTCTGAAATTCGATTACTCAAAATTCTGCACGTTTTCGTCGAGAGAAACGGACGATCGGCACTTCGATTTCGAAATACGGTTTCGAGAAATTTCTGCCAGACGGTAATTTTGGCCTGTTTCTGCACGGAGACAGCCATGCTGTTCACCCGATAAAATTGTTCGAGGATATCGTATGTAAATGTGCACGATATTCTGCATTTTGCAAAAATGCATTCTGATGATTCTCGAAGCCGTTCGCTCCGAGGAATTTCGTTCGCATAAAATGCCATTGCAGAGTTTGACACCGTTCGGCAATTTGATGC